AATTGTTAGATAAAAACTTAGAATGACAAGAAAAAAGTCTCCGAACTGCAAAAGAAAAAAAAGGCAGAATTGCAACACGTAAACTCAGAATTAGTCAAAATTGCAATTAAAATTGTAAACTCAGAATTCCCCTAAAAAAAATCTGAATTGCAAGAAGTGAAGTTACAATTGTGAGTTTATAACCTGCAAATCCGAAATATAAACTCACAGCTCTGAGATAAAACGTCAGAATTGTGAGATAAAAAGCTGCAGTTAGCTTTTTAATAATTTTATTCCGTGGCAGAAACAAGCGGCGTCTCGCTCCAGACAGGACAAAAGCCTCATAACACTTCACTGATATCTCAGGGCTCCAGACTGCGGCTATTTCTTCTGCCGGTGCGAGTAAAGTTTGTGCGCGACCACCGCGTTGTTTAACTCGTTTCGGTTGTATTTGAGAAGCATCAAACGAAACCAAAGCAAAACAAAATCCCGCGACTCGCTTGAGCTGCGCAGCTCGGACCGAGACGCAAACAAACTTGTCCGAGCTCAGAACAGCTTTACTCGGGAACCAAAGTTGATTTCGCGACAGCGCTGCGAGATCCAGTAAGAAGCGTTTGAATTATCTCGCAGCAATCTTTATTCATTCTGCGGCTGAGAAACATTCAAATTCTGCACAGAATTCTCCGTTATAAACCGATCAAACGGCGCTGGCGCCGAAAACCAGAAGCAGTAACGCTAACGTAACCATGGTGCTGTGGCAGAAATAGTCGAATGTTATTACATTATTCATTTCAGGGTTTGTGCAGCCTTTTGAGAAAGAAATTAAAGCAATTTTCAATGACTTACAAGCATGTTTCCAGCACTTTAAAGCTCCTAAATGATCCAATTTGAATGTTATTTTCAATGAGATGACCAAAATATACTGTGGTGAACAAACACTTATATAAAATTAAAAAAATACATCAAATCACCATTATAACCGGTAGATGGCAGCAGAGGAGCACTTATTGGCTTATTAGTCACTCATTTATAATTTTTCCTTTATATTTTGAAATGATAAAATACTTATAAAATCACTATTATAAAATTATCAAATCCTCAAGAAATCAGATTTTTGCTCTTTTTTGTGTAAGAAGTAAAAAAAACGTCACAAAGTGCTTTGAAAAACAATATTTTCTTCAATCTGCGACTAAATCACACAATCACGTGTTGGTCAGTTTCATATAAGACTAGAAGAATAATGGTACATCTAATAAGAGTACAATATATATATATATATTCAAGATAAAAATTAGATTTTGCACGTTACTGTTGTTAATAAAGCTTCCCAACTCAAGCACTTTACAGTCAAATGTGTATAAACATGAAAAAAAAAAAAGAAATTAACATGTAATATTATTAGTAACTGCACTTATTAATGCAAAACAATAGTAATTTTATCATATATATATATAAATATATTTGTCATATCTCTCTGAATTTAAAAGAATACTGCACATTGTAATCTGTATGAGTTAAGTCTATTTATTATCAAAGCATTGGTCAGTAATACAGTTAAAATTGGGAAATATATGAATGATTGCATTGCAGGCTGATTTAAGGTGTTCCCCTAAATTTTCTGTGTGCTCCTAGTAAAAATAGCCCTGTATCTTCCTCTGCTGAAGCTCTGAAATCGCATCTGCATTTTGTGTTTAAATTAAGAAAATAGAGCACAGATGCGAATGGCTTCACGTGTTCATGTGTTTCATAACCAAATGTGACACGCACAAGTTTATGCAAAATGAAGATTATTGGTAAATAATGATGTAAATTTCACATAAAGCATCATACGACTTCAGAAAACGACTTTGTTTTTTCTCTTTTTGGATCTATACCGACATATAAAATGAGTAACAGCTTGTGAATCTGGAACAACAACTTTCTAGACGTATTTTTGAGCGAACTATCCCTTTAACAATGATTCATGTTTGTCTGCGCACTGAATCTGAGACAGAAAGCCAGACTTACACAAACTCAGAAACACAGATCATACGGGTTCGCTCTCAGTGATGCAAGATATTGCAATCTTCGCCGTGGATACACACTAGTTAGAAAACAACTGCGCACACAGCTAAGAAATACATATTTAACAGCGCTCGAGAACTAATACTAGATGCAGGTCAATCCGGCACAACTGGCTCATGATTGCACATCTTCTGCTCAGCAGGGCTGCATTTATTTAATCAAAAATACAGTAAAAATTGTGAAATATTATTATAATTTAAAACAGCTGTTTTCTATGTGAATATGTGTTAAACTGTAATGTATTTCTGTGATGCGCAGCTGTATTTTCAGCATCATTACTCCAGTCTTCAGTGTCACATGATCTTCAGAAATCATTCTAATATGCTGATTTGCTGCTCAAGAAACATTTCTGATTATTATCAATGTTGAAAACAGTCGTGCTGCACAATATTTTTGTGGAAACCGTGATGCATTTTATTTTTCAGGATTCACAGATGAATAGAAAGCTCAAAAGAACAGCATTTCTTTTGTGACATTATGCATGTCTTTACTGGCACTTTTGATCAATTTAACGCGTCCTTGATGAATAAAAGTATTAATTTTGAGTGGTAGTGATGATTTTTGTAAGCAGCTGCGTTGATACAAGAGTCTTTACGGCTCTCAGAGGAATGTGTCACACTAATGTAGGCCCTTAATGATGTCAATTTATTTACTTTACAAATGTGAATGACTGTGCAGGGCAAAAGGAGAATTAATCCGACGCTGTGTGACCTTCCATGCACAAAATACAGCAGTGGGGGAGGGAGACGAGTCTGTGGTCACACGACTAGAGATAATCATTCTTTTGTCAAAATATATGACATTTTGTTCCTAGTTTATTAAATTATTGTATTATAAAACTTAAAAACAATCATTACACCATGTCCTGACAGCACAAGACAAGATAAAGCAGGAACCTTTATGACGGGCATTTATTGGTCACATGGTTTCTATGTTTATGATGTCACTCCTATAAGCCCCGCCCACATTGAAATCACATTGGTCCAAAATTTCACTAAAAATAACCGCATATTAAATATCAAGTATGATTTGATTGGTTGCGAATGTGTCGCATTGTGCAGAGCCTGATTAGAATATAGTGTTAAAATAACGTTGTGTATACGTTGTAATTAGGTTGTCACACAAAAACCTCTGCAATGTTAGTTTATGGTCATAAAATATGAAATCGCCAGAATGACAGGATTTGGCTCCCCCCAAAAAAAAAAAAATGGGAATCATTGATTAACAGTGCAAAAACCTCCCTCAAACGTTATGCGAATGTTAGTTTAAGGTTATTAACGATAATCAAGCATAAAAGAACCTATTAGAAATTGCCTTCCAGAAAGCCAGTGCATACTAACTAAGCCATGTATGCTAGAAAGTATTTAACAGTGAAAGGCAGAGAATGGTGATAGCGATGTTATTTATCAGGGGATGTGTGCCGATTTCGTGCTGTTGAATAAGTAGGTTTAAGGTCAGCTGCTCATTTTTTCATTGTGGGTCACAAAGTGCAAAGCTCCTCCCCCCCAGTCTCCACGGCTGTGTCACAATACCTGGCGAGTGCCCTACATAGACAGCATGGATGATCCTTTATTCAAAAGATGAAATAGTCAGAAAAAAACGTAATTTTGATTTAGATCAAAATTGTTTATTGTAAAATCATTTTATAGTTATAGAACTGTATATTCTGTGAGTTTCTTTATTTTTCAACTTGTGCATTCATGCATGCATAAATATGTGTGAAGGTAGTTTACTAAGTGATCAGATGCACAAGTTTCACCGGTTGTTTGATAAAACAGGTGAAAAAAAACACCTAATTAAAGAAGGGACTTGAGCCATATCTAAAGTTTATGTTTAATAGTAAGACGTTTTATACAAAATTGAATTACAAATGTAAAATTATATTTTACTATTTAACATTTAAAATAAGTATAATACTGCATTTAATTCAATGTTGTATTAAAAAGCCTTACTATTTAAAATTTAAAATATAATTTTGCATTTTTATTTAATTGTGCATGAAAATGCTTTACTGTATAAAATAAAAATATATCATTTGGCCATTTTTAATGAAATTTGCTATAAATGTCTTACAAAAGTCTTACTATTTAACATGTAAAATAAGTATAGTTTAGCATTTCAATTCAGTTTCGTAAAAAGCCATACTATTTACAATTTACAGTATACTTTTGCATTTTAATTTAAATGTGCATAAATATGCTTTACTGTAAAAAATAAAAATAGCCTATATAATTTTGCCATTTTTGATTAAATTTTATATAAAATCTCTTACAAAAGTCTTACTATTTGACATTTAAAATAAATATAATTTAGCATTTTAATTCAATTTTGTATAAAAAACAATACTATTTACAATTTACATTATACTTCTGCATTTTAATTTAATTGTGCATAAAAATACTTTAGTGAATAAAACAAAAATACACAATTTTGCCATTTTTTATTACACTTCATATAAAATCTCTTACAAAAGTCTTACTATTTAACATGTAAAATAAGTATAGTTTAGCATTTCAATTCAGTTTCGTAAAAAGCCATGCTATTTAAAATTACAGTATACTTTTGCATTTTAATTTAATTGTGCATAAAAATGCTTTACTGTAAAAAATAAAAATAGCCTATATAATTTTGCCATTTTTGATTAAAGTTTATATAAAATCTCTTACAAAAGTCTTACTATTTAAACATGTAAAATAAATATAATTTAGCATTTTAATTCGTTTTTGTATAAAAAAGCCTTACTATTTCAAATGTGATATATAAATAATACCTAAGCATGTATTCAAATGCTTTACTGTATAAAATAAAAATACATAATTTTGCCATTTTACTTAAATTTTCAATAAAATGTCTTACTGTTTATTGTGTGCAGTACCAATACTATATAGAACTAGTAAGAGTAGTGTCCTAGTGTAGTAGCCTAGGTAGGGCGCTCGCGAGGTATTGGGACACAGCCCTCTCTCTCTCTCTAGTCTTCCGACGCTCCGTTCTGCGAGAAACACAGGAAACTAGTCTAAAAACACACAGGATCGACGTTTAAACGTTAACTTTGTCTGATGAAACCTCGATTGAGGGGGAACTGACCGAAGATGGGTGTAAAGTCTCGGCTCTCGCACTGAAGTTGGAGGATATATTGTCCCGGTGGAAGTGATTCTTGACGGTAGATAGTTTACTTCTCATGTTAGCTCTGTTACTTTGCTAAGAGACACATATTCACTTATTCAAAAGAGTCGCGTGAGTAACGTGAATGCAGAAAGGAAACAAAAAGTGACATCCTCTTAAGGCTAGTCATGATCTCGATCTACAACGAGAGTGATTTAACAGGGTTAGTTTGTTGTGCATACTAACACGCTTTTCTTAAGGATTGTTACAGTGTTTAGCAGAAGCTGAAACCCTGCATCACTTGTTGATCTCAGTGATTTAGCTGCATCAATCCAAATCAAATGAATTGAGCGCAAACTGCTGTTCAATAAGTTTGGGATCAGTAAGATGTTTAATGGGTTTACAGAAGTCTCTTCTGCTCATCGAGACTGCATTTATTTTACCAAAAATACAGAAAAAATCGTGATATTGTTAAATATTATTACCATTTAAAATACTGGTTTTCTATTTCAATATCCTTTAAAATAACAATATCGTGCATATTCAATACCGTGATATATCGCATTACCGAATACCGGCACAAGTCTAATGAGAGCATAATCTAATAATCCTGAATTATTTCACACGATCACCACAAAATAGTGTTCCTGATCTGAAGCACATTTATTTTCAGTAGTTTGTCAGTAGCTGTAGATGTTACACCGTAAACAAATATTGGTTAAAATAGTCAGTTTTTAATTGCTGGAGATTTTTTTTGTTTATATTTCTCAGGAGTCGTCCACCATTTTTTTCCACTGAGCTCATCGCAGTGCATTATGGGATTGCTTTGTCTGCAAAGGATGCATGTAATTCTGGGCCCTATGATTTCCGAGGTGCGGAAAACGTGAACCGAATCACAGAATCCGGTCATAAAAATTAAATTGACACATTTATAGTATAATGTAACACTTTTTGTTTTTTTGCAAAAAAAAAAGGAATTGTTACATGTTTGTGTAATTACATTTTAAAATATTAATTAAATTGTTAATGTTTTATGTCTTCATTTAATTACCTCCTTTTAAAAAAACATTGTATTAAGTCATAAATCTGGAAAAATTAAAACAGAATTTCTGACAAAATAAAACATGTCATAAGGCCGTTTATTGTAAAAAAATAAAATGTTTTTAAATTGTTGAAGTTTTATGAATTCAATTAATTAGACATGTTTTTTGATTATTCGGATATAACTAAACCATTCAAATGGAATTAAAACGAAATTTGGAAAAAATAAATAAAACAGAATTAAAATTGAACTAAACCATTAAAACGGAATCTTTCATAGGGCCCTAAAAATGTAACTTTTAATAAATTGTTGTTAAATTGTATGAGTTCCATGATTTCTATTGTGTAGACATGGTTTTTGATTATTACAATTTAACAAAACCATTAAAATGAAATCTAGAAAAATGTAAACGGAATTTGTGAGAAATAAAATGGAATTTATCAAATTAATTAATTTTTTTGTTTACTTTTTTTAATTATTTAAAAATGAAAACGGATTTCATAGGGCCCTTAAAATGTCATTTCAACAAGTTGTTGTTAAATTGTAAGATTTCAATTATTTAGACATGCTTTTTAATTACTAAAGTTTAATTTAACCATTAAAAAAACTAGAAAAAAAGAATTTGTGAAAAAATAAACCTGAATTTGAGAAAATAAAAATATAAAAAATTAAATATGCTGAGAGAGAAAGAAAATATTGTTTTATATATATATAATGGACCAAATATTCTTCACGACAAGAATTGTTAATGCAATCGTTAAGGCGCTAGAATAGAATTAGATGGGTTACATTCGGTCTAATCTCTATTCATCCTCGTGTGGAGATCACATCCACTCGCACGCTTCAGCTGGTCTCGCTGTTATCAATAACTTCAGATTTGCACAGAGTTGTAAATCATTACAGGTCGACTGAGCTAGTGGCTAATAGGATTGAAGTGAGAGAGTTGTGCTCTTGGGATTTTCTCCTTCGGCATTCACTGCAAATCCACCTCCGTCTGAAAGAGTGATGCCAAGACGGCCTCGTTCTGAACCTGAGAAAGAGACTAGTGTCTGGCTCATTTCTGAAGAAACTTCAAATCAATACATGATGTTCATGTTTTGTGGCTTAACCCGTCTTTAGGGCTGTGTGAGATATTGAATATCCATGATATTTGTGATGATTGTACTGGTGATATAAACAGCTACAGATGAAATACTGATATTTTTTAAAAGAAATGAACACTTTTATTAATCAAGGACGCATTAAATTGATCAAAAGTGGCAGTAAAGACGTTTATAATGTCACAGAAGATTTCTATTTCAAATAAATGCTGTTCTTTTGAACTTTCTGTTCATCTGTGAATCCTGAAAAATAAAATGCATCACAGTTTCCACAAAAATATTGTGCAGCATGACTGTTTCCAACATTGATAATAATCAGAAATGTTTAATTTAATCAGCATGTTATACTGATTTCTGAAGATCACGTGACACTGAAGACTGGAGTAATGATGCTGAAAATTCAGCTGCGCATCACAGAAATAAATTACAGTTTAATACATATTCACATAGAAAACAGCTGTTGTACATTATAATAATATTTCACAATTTTTGAAGTATTTTTGATCAAATAAATGCAGCCTCGGTGAGCTTAAGAGACGTCTTTTTGGTCATACTGTGCACTAGTGTGTATTTAGATGTGTATATATTGAGTCCTACAATACAATAGAGTAATGTTAGACTAATGTGTCTGATATAAGTGTGTGTTTGTGTAAATGTGTGTTATGGTGTTTGGACGTGAAAGGGCTCGCAGCAGTATGTCGTCACGGCAACATTGTTGTTTCAGACGTTGTTAAGGTTGATTTAAAATCAATATTTACACTAGATGGTTTTGTTAGCCTACATTTGGTGATCTGCCTTCTGTGATTGACTAAAGTTACAATAACTAGGCCTGACGCGATTATTAATCGTCAGATCGTGCATATTCAGCTGAGATGACTGAAATAATTGTACACTTTTTAAATTTCAATCACATTTTGCAGGCCAAATAAGGACACTTTAAGCGCTTGAAATGCAAAGATAGTCAGAGGTCTTCCTTCATACGAAATGAAGGGTGCATATACTCTACTGTTCAAAAGTTTGGGAAAATACAGAAAAAAACAGTAAAATTGTGAAATATTATTACAATGTAAAACAGCTGTTTTCTATGTGAATATGTGTTAAACTGTAATGTATTTCTGTTCAGCATCATTACGCCAGTCTTCAGTGTCACATGATCTTCAGAAATCAGTATAATATGCTGATTTATTACAAGTTTTGCTGCTTAATATTTTTTTTGGAACCTGTGATACCTTTTTCAGTATTCAGATTTTACTGTGCAGTCATGAGTGCAGCAACTACAAGAAGAGCTCCTGACGCTCAGCAACTGATGCCCAACCTGCTTCCATCAGCAGCATCATGTGAGCCAAACATAATTGGATACATTTTGGATTTTGAATATAACACACACTACCATACAAAAGTTTGGGGTCTTGAAATACTATTACAATACAAAATAACTGTTTTGTAATTTAATATATAATGTAACATAATATAAAATGTAACTTATTTCTGTGATGGCAAAGCTGAATTTTCAGCAGCCATTATTCAAGTCTTCAGTGCCACATGATCCTTCAGAAATTACTCTAATATACTGCTTTGGTGCTCAAGAAAAGTTTCTTATTATTTTCAATATTAAAAACAGTTCAGTGCAAACCATGACATTTTTTTCAGTATTCTTTGATGAATAAAAAGTTAAAAAGAACAGCATTTATTCAAAAAATAAAAATATTTTGTAACAATATACACTACCGTACAAACGTTTGGGATCAGTAGTTTTTTTTTTCTTTTTGGAAAGAATGAATGCTTTTATTCAGCAAGGATGTGTAAAGTTGATTTAAAAAAAGTGACAGTAAAGACCTATATTGTTAGAAAAGATTTCTATTTTAAATAAACGCTGTTCTGTTTAACTTCATTCATCAAATAAATTTGAAAAACGTCTCACAAGTTCCAAAAAAATATGAAGCAGCAAAACTGTAATAAATCAGCATATTATACTGATTTCTGAAGATCATGTGACACTGAAGACTGGAGTAATGATGCTGAAAATACAGCTGCGCATCACAGAAATACATTACATTTTAAAGTATATCAAAATATAACACTGTTATTTTAAATGGTAATACTATTTCACAATATTTCAGTTTTTTTGATCAAATAAATGCAGCCTTGATGAGCAGAAGAGACTCCTTTCAAAAGTAATAGAAATCTCACTGATCCCAAACTTTTGAACGGCAGTGTATGTTATGTATGTATGTTTATATAAATTACATTTTTCACAGCGTTACAGTAAGTCATATGGGCCTATTTTATTATTTAGAGTGAAAAATTGAAGGGGGTCTGAATACTTTCCGTACCCACTGTATATATATATATATATATATAAAATTAAAATTAAAAATAATAAAAACTATATATACTTATTTAAACTAATAAAAATCACAAAACAAAATTACAAAAACTAAAAATAATGGAAAAATAAAAATTTTATAGAAATATTAGTAAAAACGGTAATACTATCTTGATACTAAAATAAATAAAACTGTGGCTGCAGGGCTAAAAAAAAAATAAAAGACTAAATATTATTCACACTTATTTTACAGGCTATATAAAATTAAGCAACATTGTGAATGTAGATGATTTTAAAGTATGTTAATTAGAAAAATAAAGGCTGTTCCATTAGACTAGTTTCATGATCCTTCGTTGTCGTGATTTATTTTAGCTTGATTTTCTTTTATTGTGCTTTTCTTCTTACATTAAACAGTTTGAAAATCACTGGTTTCAGAGCAAATGCATCAACGGCTCATGTTCTGCTTTGTTCAGTCACACTTCAGGAAGCGCTGGGTTTATTTCTGGAGCACATTAGTCAGCGAAACCAGCCGAGATGCATATGAGCTCCAATATAAGATGATGCATCTATTTATCCTGTGCAATGAAACC